AATCACATGGAAATAAAGGCATTTCAAAAGTTATGATGTCTGGATTTAATTTTTTAGGCCTCAAATTTAAATTCTTTGTTGTAAGTGACGACTAATGACCGCTTATTTCGAACCTTGCTTCCCAGCCGCAGTAACTTAAGTGAAAGAACGTTCGCATCCCACTGAGGCGACTCAGGTTCGAATACCAGCAGTGGCTGACTGTCATGAATCCTGCGATCGACGAGCACCGACCACAGTGCTGGCATAAAATATCCTCAGTGGTAGATCATGGGTTAGAATCTCTGTACGGTTGTTCTAACCATAGGAGGTTTTCGTAGTTGTCCTCTCCATGCAAAGCAAAGCAAAGATCAGTTTCATTAAAAAGTCCCCCAGGAAGGATTATTTTAGTTTATAATTTATTTAATTTGATTAATTTTAGTAAATACTTATCTTCAATCATTATAGAGTAATGAACTTAAAGTTTCGGTGTATTATAGACGACGCAGGCAATTGTAATGTTCCATTTTTTTCTCAAGTTTGTCTACCATATTAAGTTTGTGAACCACTAAATAAATACCTGGATGGTTCTATCATACCACTAAATTTTCATAGTTGTTGTGAACCCTAGTTATAAAATAAAATAAAAGGCCTGATTCCCAAACAAGCTTTTACCCATTTATCTGATCCTAGTAAAGCTTCAAACTCCCACTGTGGATCAATTCCCAGTGTCCTTACCACTGAGAATTTGCACTATTTTATTTCTCAAGTTTTTCTACTATATTAAGTTTTTGAACCACTAAATAAATACCTAGATGGTTCTATGGGACCACTATATTTTGATTGTTGATATGATCCCTAGTTAGGAAATAAAACAAAAAGCCTGATTTACAAGCAAGCTTTTACTCATCTATCTGACCCTGTTTACTTTTCAAACTCCCACTGAGAGTCAATTCCCAGTGTCTTAACCACTGAGCCATTGCACCAATAAATAGTTTGTAGTGTGTTTTAATTTAAAATAGAATCTGAAAGAACTGGGAGAAATAATAAAACCAAACAAAAAGAATCTATAATAAAATTCTTGTGTAAAATATTTATTAAATTTCCATTCCCAAATATACAGACTTCTCTGAACAATAGCAACAATAACAATTATATGTTACAAAATGATACATTTTTATAAAATGATCGCAATAACATGTTGAAAGACATCTTTCATGATATCCTCTATATTTGTTCAGAATTATCGTTTGACACTGTTCAAAAAGGCTTTCCGTCAGAAGGATTATTCAACGTGTTCAAAACAAATGTTTTAAACGTGATCTTTATAAGTAGAAATTAAATAGAAGTATACATTAAAAAAATGCCAAGTAGAATTTTTATGAAGAATGATGAATTAAAAAAAAATGAGATGAAGACATGGCGGAAATATTCTTAATACAAGAGCATAAATATTTGAGATTAAAAATTAGAAAAAAATGATGGAGTTTATAAAATATATTTTTTAATTCGAGTTAAAATAGTTATAAAACTATAACTTTTTAAGTAGCTAGTCCGCAGAATAAAAATAATAATAATACAATAAGTAAGTATATGATTATTCTAAATATTATTATCATTTAAGGCATTATGGCGCTTTGTAAAGTGACGTAACTTTATAAGCTCTTGAGATTGATTTTGAAAATCAAACTCTTCTTAAACACCGTAAAATTATCACATTTAATATTTATATGGCCTAATAAATTTTATGTTGGAATGTATTTTTTACACGATGCAATTGATTATGAATGCGTTAAGATATTTCAGCGGTAATGCCACTTAAGAAATTTTAAATTGAAAGGAATTAGAGTAATTGATCGAAAGGAATTATTAGAGTAATTGATTGAAAGGAATTATTAGAGTAATTGATTGAAAATAATTAGTAAAGTAATTGATTAGAGTAATTGATTGAAAGGAATTATTAGAGTAATTGATTGAACGGAGTTATTAGAGTAATTGATTGAAAGGAATTATTAGAGTAAATGATTATTAGAGTGATTGATTGATTACAATTCCAATTGGTTTACGTTTCACAATAATTGTCATTCAAAAAATTTTAAAATGGTGATAAATTATACAATTATCTTTTTTAAATATGCTTTTTAGAATCATTTTCGAATAATTTTTGTTCTTTTTTGAAAACATGCACTTTTTACTCAACGTATTACGTTGAATAATTTCCTTCAGTTTTCAAAAATCTTCTAAATTTTTATTTTTAAAAAAATTTTATTCGTAATTTTTTAAATATGCTTATTAAAACATTCAAGTAATATTACTGAATTTGCATAAACAATTATCTCTATTTTTTGCTATTGTGGCATTACCTGTGGAATGCTTGGTAGCCTTGCTACGTGCTTATGAAAATATTATAATGAAAAATACTGTAGAAAATATGCTATTAACAATTAGCGTTCAAATGTTAACTTATGTTATGCATTTGAATAAAATGACATTCATGAAAAATGTTTGAATTATTTCAAATTTAAACAATTATTTACATATTTTTTTCAAATTTCATAATCAGACAAATAGAAACTGAATATGATAATCAAAATAAATAACTGGCCTATGAAAGCTGATAAAATGATTAATGGTTAACAGGAAGACAGTTTTGTACGGAATAATTTCTGAATAAATGAAAGGAACTACTAATGATATAGCGAAATCACTCCATTTTAGCTCAAGCAATGTTTATGTTGCATAAATATTTTTTATCGGTTACATTTAGCTATAAGAAGTTGAACAATATGGAGTTTAAATATTTATGAAGATTTAACAATAAACAATATATTTAACAAAAATGAAGTATAGAGGTTAAAACATAATAATTCGAAAGGTACATAACATTTTGCAACATTGTAAGAATACAACTATATAAAATATAATTTGATTGACAATAACAATTTTGATCTTTAAATCACATTCAGTTGTAAATGGACGACAAGATAAATTTTCAAAGTGTTTTAAATTTAATTTTAAAACGTTTTGATTTTAGTTTTTACTTGTGTAACAGTAATCCTTTTTGAATTTAGCCGTTCCATGAATATTTTGATTATGCTTTTAATTTAGAACGGAGCAATGCATTTGTTTAATAAAATTACAGTGATATATAGTTGACAATGATTTTTTTCTTTTATGTGTTTGAAATACTGCCTACACATATTTCCAAAACAAAAATTGCTTTAATTTGTGAATTCTCCTTCCTAATACGTGAATTACAGAACAGACGATAAAGTGCTTAGGTTATTATATATTTCGATGAATTATCATGAAATTAAAAAAAAGCAGGTGATGAAATTTAAAGAGGCAGGCGATACTATTAAATGCCTAGATGATTAATTCAAATCACGCGAAAAAGTTAAAATAAGCCAACAATAACGGTAAATTAATCATTCATAGGTTATGTCAATGATTAGGCATGAATAAACATTTGTTAAAATAAGCACACTCTTGGGCATATAATAAAGTTTAATTAAACTTTTATTAAAACTAAGGGAATCAGACGATAAAACTTAAAGAAGCAGACGATTCAATTTAAGAAAGCAGACGATATAATTTAATATTCAGAAAATTCCATTAAGTTCAAATAAGCCAATAATTACTTTCATTAAATTAAGAATGTGTTAAGTTAATTTAAGCATATAATTGAGCTACTTGGTATATTATAAGATTTGATTAAACACATGCTAAAATTAAGGGAAACAGAAGATTATGTTTAAGAAAGCAGATGATAAAATTGGGGGAAGAAACATAACTTATTTATTTAAATACGTGAACAATTCATTTTAAAAAATCAGACGATGAAGATCAAATAAGTCAATGATGGAGTTAAATTAATCATAAAACAGTGTTTTCCTACAAAACAAAATTTTAGTAGATATATCCGAGAATTTTTTTTTTGTCTAAGTTTTTTTTATCTTTAGACCATCCAATCATTCTTTCGAAACAAGTCATACAAAATCATGCCGAGTTTACGGATCAGAGAGAGGATAACTAACGAAACTTTTAAATTCACTTTTTATGATATATTATTGAGGGAATTATGTTCCTTTTATGTCGTAAGTCCGATACAAATTCAGTTCTCAACGACACCTTCTGATGATGGAAACAATGAAGATTGTTCCGTCGAACGAAAAAAGAACCGTGTCAGAACTTACACTTGTGGAAAAAATGGATTTTTAGAATGATGAGTCTAAGGTACATTCAGACCGTAGCCGCTAACCTATTGACATAGATAGATGGTTGGGAGAAAGTTATTAGCAAATCTTTAAAAGAAATGTTGGAAGACTTAAAGTGCTTGTTACTTTCACTTTTGATAATCACAAAACAATGGTTGGTCATGCTTATAAATTTATTTCGACCTCAAATGGGTTTTGACGTCGCGTTATTTTGTGAATGCAGTAAACAATAATTTTTACAAGCGGAATGGCACCTTTTGTTCGTTTTTTAATGCTCATATTAAATGGCTCAGATTTTTACTTTTCTATAACTTAGTTAATAATCGAGGAGCATTTTTGGTTTTTGATACAGAAGTAGAGAGTAAAATTACAAACATTTTGTATTAATGAAGTCAAATATTTACTGTTGTTTATTTAGAATGCATTAGCATTCGATGTTTTTTAGAAAAACAGACTTGAATAAAAAAAATATTTCCAGTAAAATAATGTGTAGTAAAAAATATTCTGAAATATTACGGGAAAAGTCTTGAAACAAAAAAGATTTTTTTTGAAGTTGCTCCAGTGAAAATTTTTTGGAAGATTGATTACCGCGCTCGTTGTTTATACTTACGACATTCATTTAAAATCTAATCAAGTTAATTTTTTGGCATAAAAATAGCTTTCGATGTTTTTAGGGTTTTCTTTCGTAATTAACATACATTTTAAGTAATTTACATACTTTTTAAGTATTTAAAGAAATTTATTCTTTTCCTTATTTTTTTCTTTATGAAATTTTATATTTCAAAAACTTATCATTGACAAAAGTTCTTTTTCAAGTACTAGTTACTAATTTAATTAACACGAAATGGTACTAATTTAATTAACATGAAATGGTACTAATTTAGTTAACATGACTAATTTTACCTGACACAATAATTTTTCGTTAGGAAGGAGAAACAAAAGTGAACCAAAAATGAATTAAACAAATCAACAAAAACACTAAAATACGGAGGTAGGTTTCACTTATAGTATCTATAATAATAATAATAATAAAACAAGTTTTCATATGGCATAAGTACGATGGTAGTTGATAAACAAAAATGTAACAAAGCATTATTTGCTTGGAACAAATATTTCATTATATTGGTATGCGTAATAGTAAACAAATGATTGTTTACATAGTAAGCATGCGAATATAATAAAAGTAAGTATGTGCTCCATTGTAAATATTGTTGAACACATTGTGTTCAACAGGTTACTGTACAAGGTGGGTTTTACATGCATAATACCACTTTATTACAAATAAGTCCTTTGCATATAGTTCATATATCTACAAAATTGTTCAGATTCAATCACAAACATTTTATGACTTAGTTAGGCACATCGCATTTTAAGATCACCTTATTTAGGTGATAAGATAACAGATAAGTTAGATGAAATCTAATCACATCAGAACTGGCCACGTGGATGGAGCTGGTAAAAAAAATCTCAGATAATTTTAATACTGTATCTGACAGACGAAGCTAATCGTCAAAGCCTGATGAAGTTTATGATTGTCCACACTTGACTGTAGCACCTCGCACGATGAAATGTAAAAAAAAAAAAAAAGTATTTTTTAAGAAGAATTACTTTAAAACACAACAATAACAACAACGTTTTAGAAACACAATGATAAAAATATCTTATCATTTAAGTAACAGAAATTTAACAAGATACAGCTCTTTTAGCAGTCAAATCTAAAGGAGTTTCGGCTCTGGTTGGGGCATTATCATTATCATCATTATCGTCCATGTTAATATACTCATCTTCATCATTACCATTCATACCATCTACAGTAGCATCGGAATTAGGTGTTTCTGGTTTTTTGACAGACAAATCTATCGGTGTGTCTTGTACAGGAACGTCTCTGAAACATTCTGTATTTATCAAAGGTCCATCTCTTGCTGTTGTTAGAGCTGGATTTGTCAAAATACTACTTGGCACACCTAGTAGTCTATGAGGAGGAGAGTAGTTCATCTCTGGACTAAACACTTTAGGCAAAGAGCTGAAGTTTTTAGCAAAGAAACTACTATTAGCTGAATGGAAGAAGAATTTGCTTGGATGAAGTGGAGACACCGGAGACAAGGGCAGGTGATGATGATGAAGAGCAACATTTTCTTTCCTCTCATAAGATGGACTGCTTGTGTCATAATACCCATTGGAATAACCGTTCGAAGAACTTTTTGAAGGGAAATAGTTATAAGAAACGGGACTTGTAGTTGTGTCCATAGTTCCTGGATCAGATGACGGTGATCCTCTGTTAGAGTGACCGTTGGTTGGTAGAGCAACATCACTAAACTCAGAGCGGAAATGGTGAACCATTTCTTTGGAATCATAGTGATTATTGGATAGTACTCCTTGATCAGATAACCTACTGGACATTTCTGCCTGGTCTTGAATGAGGCAATGAATCTTAAACCAATTTGATCGACGGCCATAACGTGATCCTGAAAAAAAATGAAATGAAACATATTTAATGAAAATAATTAGATTCTTATTAATTTGAATCGTTACAATTTTTAAAACTTTGAACTGTAATATTTTTATTTGATATGTTTCACTACTACCAATTGTATTTAGTTAAGGGAAAAAAAAGTTCGATACTAACTTAAACATTGTACGTATAAAAAATAATTATAAATTATTCAATTTTAAAACTTTGTTTACTAAAGCAATTCAAAAAAAACAATGAACACTGTATTTGAGTTAAGCTATCTAAAACCTCTTTTGGTAATTGTAGTACTTTTCACTGTATAAAAATCTTATCATCTCATCTTAATATGAGTAAGAATAAATGTTATGTGTCAATCTTCAAGTTTTGTACTTTAAGATGGGGAAAAAGTTATGTTTTCTTCCAGTATTTTTCAATAAAATTCACAAGACGAACATAAAATCCAAATTATTCCAAATTCTCTAAAACTCGGGCAGATTAGACTGTTGAAGATTAAATGTTTTAAGAATTAGTATCCTTAGTTAATTAAATGCATGAAAATCAAAATTTTATTTGAGTTATATAGTTGTTTCAAAAAATATAAATGTCAAAAATTTGGAGTCTTATACTCACAAATCCACTTAAAATAACATCTGTTTTCATCTTAAAATAATTATAATTAAATTATAAATCATATATATTATGCGAAAGATCGTGAAAAAACAACGGGGCACACCCGTTGCTAAGGGCTGAACACGATTTTGATGCTACATGTTAAAGTGTGGGTACTAATTATAATCTGAATCCGTTAAGCATTAAGGTCGAGTGTTTCACAGAAATTCTCTGCAATGACTCGTGAACATTTTCTCTTCCTTTTATTACAATTATTTCCGGAACAAAATGTGCCTTTATTTTTGTTCCAACAAAAGACAACTTTAAAAGAGGAAAGCATTTGGAGTATGGAAAAATAAACTTCAAAAAAAGTACGCCAACAGATCGTGACCTTTGAACCCACTGGTCTATGATAATGGATTTGTCTTCTTTTTCATTCCATGCTCTGCAAGTTAAATATAGCTCAAGACGTGTCATTAAACAATTATTCACGGTCATTTTAGCAGAATCAGAAGACCTAATTTTCTCTGGTGCTTATTTTTCAATTCCCTGTTTATACTATAGGTATCAAAATGCAACATTTTGGCAAAACAGAATAGAAAAGGTCATCAAAAACTACCCAAAGAGAACGCTCCTTAATTGTGTTGCTTTTCTTTTTGCTTCTATATATAGGAGCGAAAGAGTAAAAAGAAATTAAATATGAGCCTAGTTCCCACAAGAAAAGCAAAATGAATCTTATGGCCTCTAAGGAGGGGTTTTCATATGGGCAGAATAGTGTGGTTTACTTTCTGGGCATAAGCGAATACAAATTATATGAAGTTGAGTAATGATGTTTTACAATGGTGCGGATGTTTTTTTGTGATCGGAATCAGAGATGAAAAGTGGTTGATCGCTTTATTTTTCATTGAATAGATTTACTTTGATGGGATATTTCCCACTTGATGGAAATCAGTTATTTTTATTAATCTTAAGTTAAAAATTACTTATCAGATATTCGGAATCTCTAAATTTTCATTGGGTTCATACAAGCTTTCTTTTGGTTATTAATCTTCAAAAAACACTAATTTAAGAGATCTAAATGGTTTTGATTTTATCTAGGAAGTATAACATTTTTCAACTTTCTATAACTGATCTAAAATTTAACTTAAGATTCTAAATGTTTTATTGAAGCTTAACATATGTTCATATCTGAATCAAAATCTATGCACATTATCTGATATATTATATCTAACATATACACATCTAATATAATATCTAATATATCTATCAAAGGAATAGATATGAATTGGAAATAAAAAGTGGTTGATCGCTTTATTTTTCATTGAATAGAGTTTTTTGGTTGGAATATTTCATGTTTGATGGAAATCAAATATTTTTATTCATCTTGAGTTAAAAATTACTTATTAGATACTCAGAAACTCTAATTTTTATTGGGTTCATACAAATTTTCCTTTGGTTATTAATCTTTAAAAAAACACTAACTTAAGAGATCCAGATAGATTTTATTTTATTGAGGAAGTATAATTTTTTTCGTCTTCCTATAACTAATCTAAAACTTAACTTTGGATTCTAAATTTTTTATTGAATCTTAACATAAGTACTTATATTATTCAAGTTTAAAAATTTTTTTGAAACTAAGCAAAGAATTTTTATTATTTAACTTTAACAGAGCTAAAATTTTAAAAATACCAAAGATACCATAACGTCTTGCACACTCAATCAAACTCATAAAAACCATGTTAAGGGGTTGAAATTACATTTAATAAGCATTAAAATATGCTGTTTTTAAAATCCTACTATACTCCGTTGCAAGTTAAGAAAGGACCATTGTGGTATAGGATTTAAGTAATAATCCGCTACTGCATAGTTCCGTTTTATTTAGCTATCAAATTATATGATTATGCCTTTAAAACAGTAAAAAAGCTTTTAAAAGTTAAACTCGTCGGGCAGAAGTTTAATTCGGGGTATTTCTTATAAGCAAAAAGAAGGCCATGCTATATCGTTTCAAAAGTTGGCGATGTTGATATTCGTTCGAGCTGGGAGCTTAACATGCACTTCGCGTGCACTTAGATGCAAACAGACTTCCGCCATAGGGATAATTGCTTCTTTTTTTTTAAAATTGCAGCAGAGTATTGTTCAAAGAAATTGAAAAATAAATTGCACTTTTCAAATTAAAATAAACTTACTTTTTTTTGTTTTTTTTTATGAGAAAAAAATTTTTTTAAACAAAAAAAAATATTCAACAATATTCAAATGCTACTAGGAATTTATGTAGCATGCTAAACTCAAAGCAACTACCAAGTTTTAACTTAATAGATTTATTGGAAGTTCAGAAATCTTGCGTAAAAATTGCATTGAAGAAAACAGATTTAAAATAAAACTTTGAATAAATAACTTTATACAAAAGGTATCAGTTTGCAGATGATTTCAGTTTTAAGAAAAAGGTGAGTTATTTTCTGTTTTCAGAGAGAGCGTTTTAGCCTTTTTTGTTGTAACTTTGGAAGTTTTTTTTCTTCAAAAAATTGTAAATTATGTTTTTGTTATGAAAAATTCTCCAGATTCTTTAAGAATTTAATTGTTTTCAATACATATTTAACGATTTCCATCGTTTTTTTTTCATATCTAAAAAAATATTTTAATACCCTTTTTACCGGTTTTTCTAAAAATTTATGAATTATGAAAGCAATTTACTTCATAATTTAGCAAAAAATGATAACGTATGCACTAATAGGTTATAAAATTGCAATAATATTTTAGAAAAATAATATTATTGAAATTGAGAAAAAAAATAGGGTAAAAAATACCAGAATATGATAAATTTTACATTGTTTCTGGCTCTATGAGAACAGTAAGAATCACGGTAATTTTTACCGAAGCACTTTAATAATGATTTTGGTAAAATTAAAAATAAAATATGGTTTTAGTTGATAAATTTTATCTGCGTAACAAAAATGCTGACTGTTGTAAAAATAATTAAAATTAGATAAATTAGTAAAAATAACAAACTATGAAAATATTGTGATATATAGTGAGATACCGATTTTTTCTGAATATGTATCATGGCATAAAAAAGTTAATTTTTTTCTAGAGCAACGCTGTCTATTATTTCAGATCACTTTTTATGTTTAGGTAGATTGTTATTGTATAATTAAGCAGCACTACATAATATTTTAACTACACATTAATATTTATGTAACAAAAGTCATGACGATAATTGTTACTCAAAAGAAAATAACGCAACCTAAGGAAAAATTTCCCTCATTATATTGTCTATTACAGAGTTTCCCAAAGTGTGGTACGCGTACCTCTAGGGGAACGCGAACAGTTTAGCTGGGGTACGCGTTCTTATGCGAAATATCTTACAACAAACGAAAATTTCAAAAAATTTTATTAAAAAGCAAAGCTAGCCGGAAAATGTACGATTACGTATTTTTTTATTTTCTATTTTTTGCAGAGTTAACAGTTAATAATTAGTGGTGTCAACAGCCAGTTGTGATTATTAACTTTTGTGCAATTTTTTATATAAATAAATGCATTTACTTTTTTTATTAGCAGTACACAGCGTTACGAAAAATTTAGAAAGGGTACACAAAAGTCATAAGTTTGGGAAACACTGGTCTATTATTTCTTTGTTTATTGGTAATGCATAATTAAACTTTATTATGTATTATTTTGTAAATATACAGCTATAAACATTAACCAATGCAATAAAAATATATGATTATTACCACGTTCGAAATTCTTGCAAGAGACGCAAATTATAGACGAATAATCATCCCTTATTATATAGTACAATATAGCCATAAATTGTTGATATTGTAAAATTTAACTATATTTTATTTTAAGTTATAATTATGTAGCTATAAATTTACATTAATATAAAAAAACACGAAAATAATTGCCACTCACTAAATCATTGCGAGCAAGTAACACTAACGTTATCCCCCGCTTTTATATCAAAATGAATAAATAGTTTCCTAACAAATTGACTTCCTCGAATCATAGAGGCAATCACTGCCTCAAATCTGAATCAACTCGACCTTGGGTTTGTTGAAACCTACATTTCATCGCAACCCATTTAGTCCTTAAACACCCCATGCGGAGATAATACATTAGTAAGGCAATATTTCACGGAGAATAATATTAATAGTTGGCATAAAAATAAATAAATAAATGGGTAAAAGCAGACAGAATACGATTATTTTTTTATACAATCGATTAAATGAAGATGTTCATAATATCGATGAGATTCAAGTAAGATAATCATAAAGTGGTTAAAATGAACATGCGTGAGGTAATATGTAAGCTAGCGGCTCTATTATCTTTTTAAGTCACCTACGCTATAATTTAAAGAATCACGATTCAAAAGTAAGAAGGTACTATAGATGAGGAGAAAATTTAAACTCTTTCAAAGTTACGCATTCTATCTTTGTGTATTCACGATAAAGGTAAAAGGCAACGGGATCGTCTACATATTAAATTGCTAATAAAAAGCGATCAGATTAATTTTTTTTCATGATGTTAAGTGGTTTGATTCGCTTGATTGATTTAGAAATGAAACTCGTAAAACATGTGTGATGAGTAAGCGGTTTAAATCTTGTTCTTCAAAATAGCAGGTAATATCAAGGAAATGCAATTGAGTTTTAATGTTTTTTTTCAGTTAATGCTTTTGGTGAGAAAATGAAACCGTTAGTATTTAGAAGAAATAATAAATAAATAAAAAATAAGATATTTTTCTTTCATTTGAAGGGAATTGTATCGATCTTAACTTTATTCTGTTTTTTTTTCTTCTTTTTGTTAAAATATTTCTCATGTTTAAAAAATTAACCAAACCAGAAAAATACGGGCTGTCATTTTCTTAATTGGCTTTTAACGTATTAAAGGCCTTTTAATAATAGTTATAAACAAAATTTAAATGCTTGCTATTTTACAGCATTTTACAACAAAAGATCTTTACAATTTAAAATATATTTTTTTCTGCATTAATTAATCATAATTTTGAAAATGATAGAGAAATTCTTAATTTTAAAGCTGAAATACGGAATACATAACTGGAAAATAAGTAAACATTTTGATTTTGAAATTTGTAATATATTGAAAAGTGTAAACACATATATTTCATTCAGTCAAATTATATAGTACGCTTGCCTTAATAGCTTTATATACATTATATTTAGCATTATTCAGCGTAAGATGGTCGAAATTATATCCTTCAAATATAAACCTCTATAGCATCTTTCTGTTATTCATTACTGTTATTCATAAAAGCAATCTGCATTACTTAATTTGTTGATTTCGCTATCGTCCCTTTAAGTGAGGAAGTACTTTTTTTAAACCATAATAAGGTCTTAAAATATGAACATACTGAGAAAAAAATTTATAGTCAAAACTACTAGAATAGGGTAAAACTTACTATAGTTCTGGCTATATGGGAAACACCAATAGGTACAATAATTTTTAATTTCATTTTCACAGTAATTTACAATAAAATATTGTTTTATAATGTGTGTTAAAATTTGGTAAATGTGATAAAATTCGGTAATTTTAACCAGCCGCCTTTGAGCATGGCATAAAAACCATTTATTCCGTTAAATTTACTTTTCAATTTTATATTTTTAATAAATGTGTGGTAATAAGAACTCTGATTTTGAGAACTACAATTCCGGTTAACTATTATCATATGAATGGTTTAAATATCTTATTTTCTAGTTTTTTTATTATAATTATGTTTTTTTTTACCAAAAATGTCTGCACCATACAGTCCGATATTGTTTCTAGAATTTTTTTCTCAGTGCAGTGTCTCTAAATATATATATAGGGTAATTCATTTAAAATGCAGTTTTTAAAATGCAAATTTTAAATGCAGTTTTTTACTTTTTCGATTCTTATATTACTACTTTCTTTAAAATATTTTGTCAGATTTACCATGCATGGAATATTACTAGAAATTGATATTAACAACAGCAGCAAAAATTATATTTAAATATACAAGATGTATCATAAAGAACTTTCATAATATAATTTTAAACAGATAAGTAGGAAAGGGAGACACTAAATATACATATTTAGAGTCAATAATCAATATTTGAGCTAGGAAAAATGCGATATAAAAATCAGACAAATCACTACTGACAAAGGCAATTTGTCAAAGCCCGTTTTATTACCGATTGAAATTTCGATTTGTTGGAACAATCTATATAAGTTCTCTGAATGAAATATTAAATATGGAAGGAGGTATTGTAAGTTCTCCAGACAACTTACAATATTTTTACCAATTTATTTTTCTTATTTAAAAAAAGAAACTGCAAAAAAATAGCCATAATTATGTTGCTTTTGTTAAAGAGTTACATTTAAAACTCTTTTTCCTTTCACACTCGAAAGATTAAATTAAATACGCATTAAAATGACCCGTAAACAACTGCATAAAATAAACTCAAGTTTTTTTTCTTTTCCTTTTAAAAAGAAATTATTATTTTCTCTTCTTTTTTTCTTTTCGTGTCAGGCAATAACTCTTCCTAATTCCATTCACCTAGCGACATTAATCCAGAAGTCCTTACAAAGAAAATTCAATTTTGCTCACGTTACATGACCAAATTATGTGTACTGTAAGCTTTCCTTAATTAAAAGCAAATAATTATGCGAGGAAAACACCTATAGTGTTTCAAAATTTATACACCATTCCTTTTTACCACTTGAAATACATCATCTTCCACTATCTATAATACATTTTCTATTCCTTCCGGGCCCTTTATGGTTATTATTTTGGTCCCTGACCCTATCGCTGAGGAAAGATGCGGATGGGATTGCTGTGTACGCGCTTAACACAATTAACCTTTTAGCTGACCCTTAGTAGAGATACTCGTGACAGAACTTACCTGCGCACTGACCCTTGCGCAGATCTTTAAAATGGATGAAGAGGCTGGGTCATTTCTGAATGTCCTCACGTATTGAAAAAACAAGAATTACGGAATACCGTCATGAAATGAAATAGATGTGCTTCATTTTCTTTGAATCATCAATTTAAACGGGAGTTCCATGTGATCTATTGGATTCCAGCACTGTTTCTTTTTGTTTTAGTTAAGGGCTTTTTTGCTGTTGTTTAATTTAGATTGACTGCTAGGGTTCTTTTTTTAATATCATCTCAGACCTGAGTAGATGAAGGTTTAAGCAATATTTTATGACTTTAATAAAATTTTTGCGTTTTGCATTTATATCTTGCTTGTGACTTTTTAATGGGAGAATGTTTAATGCTGTTTAATTTAGATTGAGTACTAGGGTTCTTTTTTTAACATCATCTCAGACCTGAGTAGATGAAGGTTTAAGCAATATTTTATGACTTTTATTAAATTTTTGCGTTTTGCATTTATATCTTGCTTGTGACTTTTTAATGGGAGAATGTTTAATGTTGTTCAATTTAGATTGAGTGCTAGGGTCCCTTTTTTAATATCATCTCAGCCATGAGTAGATGAAGGTTTAAGCAATATTTTATGACTTTTATTTAATTTTTGCGTTTTGCATTGATTCTGCTTGTGACTTTTTAATGTTGTTTAATTTAGATTGAGAGCTAGGGTTCTTTTTCTTCCTTTAATATCATCTCAGACCTGAGTAAAGGAAGGTTTAAGCAATATTTTATGACTTTTAGTAAATTCTTGCATTTTGCATTTATAACTTGCTTGTGACTTTTTAATGGGTAAAATTTATATTCACTGATATCTCAGAAATTCACTGATTTAGCTAAATAAAGCAATGTTGTTTTGCTAAATAAGACTAAAATTGGATTTTAACATTAGAATTTTTTTTAACGTCACTTAAAACGTTCGTCTACTTAACTCTTCAAATTATCTTAAGTGTCATTTTAAGACATTTATTTTTGTATAATTTCAAATTCATCCATAACAGGAAATATTTATGCACTTTCAGTTTATAGAAATATTGGAATTAAAAAGCATTTTCGTCAACTTGTTATTATCTTAGCATTGTTAATTATTTATTATAACATTTAAAATATAAATAAAAAAGTTTTCTTGTTAATTATTGTCATGCGTGTCGTATTTTTGTAAAAATACTATTCTGAAATAATGACGGGAATATCTGTTTCTATACCACTGATTCATTGCTTTTACATATTAGATTTACATATTGTATTTTTTACTAAATGTGTGGCAATAAGAATTATAATTTTAAAAGCCAGCATTTCTGGTAAACCGTTTTAATACCAATGAAAAAATTATCAAAATGAATGTTTTTAATAGCGTATACATATAATTTTTATGAGAACAATGTTTATTTCTTACTCATCGTTTTTTTAATGGTAGTTTTACCAGAATTGTTTTCTCTGAGTGCAAATTGGAAAATAAGAACTAATAAAAAAAAATTTTCTGTTATGCATTAAATAATTTAGCTTCAGAGCGTAAAATTGCTTTTTTTTTATTAAAAAATGCCACTAGTTAAAAAACTTTGAGTTAAGAATAAGAAAAGGATAAAATTTTTGAGACAGAGACTTACCACTTTTAGACATTCCTACGAGTAGGCATTTTTTTAGCCTACAGCTTTTACAAGATGTTCTATTTTTCTTGTTGATGACACATTGTCCACTGTTTTTACACTCTCCCAATGCAGCTAGATTATTGTATGTGCGTCCGAAAAATGACTGAAAAAAAAAGATAATTGATACAAAATCAGTCTTTTTTTTTAAAGAAAAAAAGGAAATTAATTTTTAGGTGAAATTAAAAGAAAAACAAGCAATTCTTATTATGATAAAATGCGTACACAACTACAACAACAAGACGGTTTTGGCAATTAAACACAATTTAAAATCTGCCAAGATTTTACACGTCATTTTTAAGAAGGTTGCTATATTTTAGTAAAAATAAATAAGTTCCTTTTCTAAGTTAAAGGAAGGCAAACTGTTCCTTTTTCAACAAAAGTTTTTAAAAAGTAGTGGAGGAGAATTTAAAACTAAAACTTGCATGTTTTTTTCCTAAAATTTATTGATAGTTTAAACCAAATTAGTCAAACCAAGAGGTAACTAATTTAGTAGCGTTTCATATAAACGAGTAAAAAATGTTAAGTCCTGGTTGCAAAATTCACGTTAGATTATGTTTTCGTTATCAATAATCATACTTTAAATCGCAAATTTAGTTATTACTTCAACAAAAAAATGGTCTCATAGATGAGAAATTGGTTTCTCAAAATTCACACTAAGTCGTTTAAACAAACAAAAAATAGTAAAAAGAATTACAGATGATTTATTTTTATTCCATGAAGGGAGTTTTAATTAATAAAGTAGCATTGACTAATATTCAGCTATTTACACTAAGAAAAAAGTATGGTCGAAGCTACCAGAATGTGGTAAAATTTACCGTATTTCTGGCTCTATAGTAACACCAAAAATATCAGTTATATATCCCGTAGTGCTTTAATAAAGATTTTGATGAAAATAACAGTAAAATATGATTTTAAAACGTGAGATAAAATTTAGTAATTGAAAACTTAGAGCATTGCATAAAAACCAATGTTAAATTTACTTTTAAGTTTTGAATTTCTCACTAAATGTGTGGTAATAAGAACTATATAATTTTGAAATTCAGAATTTCCGGTACACCGTTGTCATATAAATGGAAATATTATCAAATAAATGGTTTAAATTTAGCATATTTAGCCTTTTTTTAACCAGAATTACGGCTTTTTTCTCCCAGAAATATCATTACCGTACAGTAAAGTAATTTTGCTGAACTTTTCTCCCCGCGTATGATTAAAATCACGGAAATTTTAAGGGATATTATTTTTTAATCATCATTATTTTTTCAAGTACTTTTGATGCCAAACTCGTTTATTATTCTACATTACTTCTCATTGAACTTGAAACAGTATTAGTTCACCATATGAATCTATGAAGGCATAATCGAAACACCAGCTGTTAATCTATATTTCTCGAGAAAGAACTTGTTGATATTTCAAAATGCGTTAATTAGCTTCAACATTCAAGCCTAACCTCTTAATTATAATCATTCTTTAACAATAGTTAATCTTACATTTTATTTTTCATTTACTGCAAATGAGCTTTGAGTTAATTTCTTTTTAAAGAGATTAAGCAATATGTTGCTTCATAATGACTAGAATTACTGAAAGAGAAACACAATCCGGAATTAAAGAAAAAGAAATAATATTTTAAGGAAATATATCTGCTCCGATGATTTTTTGCTTAAAATTATATTGTGTAATGAAACACAATAAGCAATTTTCTGAAAAATATTGTTTATGAAATAATATTGATGCATTTCGGAAATGAAATTCTATGTAATTGATAGATCAATTTCTTTTTATTGTTGGGGCTTCGAAAAATGATTAGTTTTTTATATGATAGTTCTTAAATTTATATTGTTTCCATCTATTAGCAGTAATGTTTAAGCTCTTAAACCGAAAATTATTTATTTAGTAGTTTTTATTGACTAATTTTTATTTATTTTTATTCAATTTCGATTTTATTGGCTTTTTTTTCATTTCTAATATTTTTAATTCAGAGTACATTTGTTTTGCCAACTACAATTAATTCTGTTATCAGAATTATTTGCATTTTGCAAAATAGTTCGATAAATAATTCTGACTTCAACTATATCTCTTTTACTGCACTTAATAAGATTTGAGCTAATAATTCTGGCTACAAATTAATATATTCTGGCTATAACTTTCTTCTTATATAATTTTGACTCTGAATCTATTTTACTGAGTATAGCTTTTTTTTCATAAATTTTAAGACTTTGAATGAATCTATATCACAAGATACATCGTAAAATGAACAAAGAATGTTTTCATTAAATAAAATAAATTAACTTATTTCGTTCTTTAAGACAGAAAAAGAAATATTAAGTATGGTTTTAAAGGAAAAATATTTTAGATATACATAGACATTTAAAATGAAACTATTTTGAACATGTTTAGATAATGCGTCATCTAAAATAAAATAACAATGTCTTTGCGGATGAAAGAAGAATATAAAACAATGAATTGTCATTTTTTAAATAAAAATCTAGTTTGCTTTCCTTTAAGATCTAACTTTAAGGTTATATTTCTGTAAAACTTAATATATTTATCCGCTTTTTCGTAAATAATTGTTTTTTTCTTTCCGATTATTATAAACACTTGTTTTGAAGAAGGTTTTGCTGATTCATTAAACCAGATTTTATCTATTTGTCTTAGATATTTATTTGGATAAAACATAGTCAAAATAAAAGTTCCAGACGAGTCAGTTATGTAAGACAATTCAGAGATGAATAATAAAATACATTCATAAAAATATGAGTATTAAAAGCAAGAAAAGTAACTTTTTCGTGAATATACAGCAAAAGATGGTTTATAAATAGTCGTGATGGAAAAATTATTTAAAAAACAAAAAACGGAAAAGCAAATACGTGGTTAGGTAGACCCTTTTCATTTAAAGGAATTTAGTAAACTCACTTTCAGTAAATAAAGCAGCAAGAAAAACAAATTTGAAAAACAAGCTACGTATTTGAACAACTTTCCCATTTACCGAATTTTCATTTTTACAGTTCAGCGGATTGGTATAGAATATGTTTTAAACCCAAAGTTTCAAGATGGCCACTATTAGTCATTAAAGTCCAATTGTAAGAAGAAAAAAAATCCTAATAAGAAGTAGAATTGCTCAATAATGACATCTCTATGTATAACAAATTACGATCATTTAGAATATCGGAGAGAAAAAATCGTTTGCTTTGTTTCGAAAAGACTTTAATCAGTACATAACCTAGCATTAACATTCTTATACACGTATAAACATGATAAGGAATAAAAAGTAACCCGCATGCACTTTATGTATTAATACTTTCTCGTCGAAATTAGCCATAAATATTTTGAGTATTACTATATCTTAAGACCTTCATATGAAAAACCATAAGGAAAATTTTCCTTTTTCTAAGTAGCTATTTGTAAAAAAAAATTGGCGCTTTTATTGGAAGACGGAAAATATCAAATAAAAAATAGACAACTGACAGTTTGACTTTCTATGTTCTTGATAGGTTACTTCATATTTATCAAGGAAGCTCTCTTTTGCTGTCTAATTTTCGATTTAAAAAATCACCAAGAAATTAATTCTTTTGCAATGGATAAATGATTCATTCTACTGTTACGAATGCATACGAAAACATTAAAACGAGACTGCTTAGCCTCTCGCTATTGATACTGAGATAAAGTATCAAGGGTTATTTGCGTCAATGGAATGACATTAATTGCTGGCTTTTATTAGTACAGGAAAGTCCTTAAACATGACAGAAAACTAAGCTGATTGAGAACTAGATAGTAAACAAAAAGATTCTTTTAAGGCGATAATTTAAGGTCATAAGCTATTTATTTGTAGTTAAAAGGAGAAATTGATGCTATTGTCAAAGCTTTCAATCATTAGAAATAAAAAAATACATTAAAGTTGAAAACAAACTATTGTTAGTTTAATGTTATAACTGTATTTAAACTGCATAAAAGGATATGATATAAATATGGTTGAATGGAAAGAGATTTATTAAAATTAACTATTTATTTACAATTTTAGCAATTTAATTTAATTTTTGTAATTTTCAATAAACAGACTAGTAGACAAATAAAAAGAACTTATTCAAGACCAGGAGGGCGATCTTTTTAAGTGGTAAATAAAAAATATTGATAATTAATGCCTAAAATTATGAAAAGTTATATATATGAATTAATGAAATTAATGAGATCTCTTTTAAATAGACTATTCTTTTAAAATAATATTTATAAATAGGTAATTCTTTGCAAATTGACCGTAAATACTTATTCGGAAACGACATTTGAGATGAAAAAAACCAAGCAATAATTCTGGTTAATAAAGCTAAATTAAACGGCATTAAAACCATGCATTTGGCAGTTTTTCCGTTCATATGGTAACAGTTTACAGAAAACTTGAATTTTCAAAATTATAGTTATTTAGTAAAAAATACAAAACTGGAAAGAAAACGTAAATGCAACTGAATAAATGGTTTTTGTTCCATGCTTTAAGGTATGATAAAATTACCAAATTTTATCACTTATTACAAAACACATTTTATTGATAATTTTATCAAAATTATTGTCAAAGCGCTTTGGTAAAAACTGCCGAGTTTTTTGGCATTCCCATAGAGCCAGAAACACTGTAAGTTTTACCATATTCTGGTAGTTTTGACCATAACTTTTTTTGTGTAATATAGAACATTACTCAAGGAAAATAATATCATTTAAGAACCAAAATATCACTAAATCATATTTAATTGTCGTTTATATAAATTATTCCCTAAATAAAATTAGCTTCGCAGAGCACACTGAGCCCACGATACAGAAACAAAACAATTCTGAACAAAAGGTTTATCACTGACATTTTAATATAAGCTATAAATACAATGACAACAGATACAGCTCCAATATAGCTCGTTCGTAAACGAAAATGATTCAAATGTGTTGAAATCAATAAAAACTTCAAAAAACAAAATAAATATGATTTGTACTTCCAGCTGTTTAAAAATTGGATATAAAACAATAATCCTTACGCAATAATGATAATCATTGCACATCCTTACAACTGGGGCAAGTGAATTTACGACATCATAGCAGCCGTAAGTGTTGTGTTTCTTTGACTGTAAAAAT